TGCAGGGTAGCTGCTGGAGCCTCTCCCCAAGATACCCACCAAGTTTCAAGAACATTGGACCAGGGGGTCCAATTCTACGGGCCCCCAAACAGGTTGCCCCCATCTCCTCCATAGTTCTCTATGGTGGGAAAAAAGTAATGTTTTTTCTGACCATAGAGAACAATGGAGGGGATGCAGCTGAACTGAAGCACATGTGGATGCAGCTGAACTGTTACAGCAAACAATGAGCAGAGTTGCTTTCATAAGTGGTTGGACAGAACACGTTATGGTAAATAATCATTTGCTACTAGAGCTGCGGTGGCTCAAGTGGTTAAGATGCTGAACTGCAGGCACCTGATGAAGTGTGCATGCACATGAAAGCTTATACCCAGAGTTAAACTTTGTTGGTCTTAAAGGTGCCACTGGACTCAAACTTTGTTCTATTGATTCAGACCAACATGGCTACCCACCAGAGTCTGAGATAAAAATGCATCCTTTCTAACTCCTTTGCCAACTGTAAACAGTTATATTTCTCCATATTCTGTCCTAAATCGCCTCCTGCCAGAGTATAGATTGCACATCAAAACAATAAAATACTGTGGCACACCTATTTTCTTTAAAACTAGCCATAGCTTTTCACAATCCAAACAGTCACAAACTTTGTTGCAATCTATGAAAACACAAGAGAATTTTCTTCTGAAATTCTCTCATAAGCTCCAATGTAAACAACATAAATGTTGCAATATGGTATCTAGTGCCTCTCCCTTTTCTGAACAGTTTGAACATCTGGCATTTCTCATTCCACCTATGGTAACAGACATTCAGTCCAGAAACATTACTATTATATCAACCAGCTGTACGTACAGATAGCTTCATGAGCCAGCATAGTGCAGCCTTAATAAATAAATAAATAAATAAATAACCAGAGCTGCGTTTATAGATATGCCTAGTAAACTACAGTTTAGGGTCTACTATGAGGCCCTTCTAAATCCACCCCTCAGCACTAAAATTTACTAGATTACGATTTAGGTGGGAAGCCATGTTGGTCTGAAACAACAGAACAAAGTTTGAGTCCAGTGGAACCTTTAAGAGCAACGAAGTTTAGCTCTTGGTACAAGCTTTTGTGCGCAAGCACACTTCATCGGATAAGCATGCACAGGAAAGGATATACCTAGAATTAAATCTTGTTGGTCTTAAAGATGCCACTGGACTCAAACTTTGTTTTATTTATTTATTGGGCTACTCGAGTCTGGGTATAAGCTTTTGCATGTGTACACATTTCTTCACCTGATGAAGTGTGCATGCACATGAAAGCTTATACCCAGAGTTAAACTTTGTTGGTCTTAAAGGTGCCACTGGACTCAAACTTTGTTTTATTTATTTATTGGGCTACTCGAGTCTGGGTATAAGCTTTTGCATGTGTACACATTTCTTCACCTGATGAAGTGTGCATGCACATGAAAGCTTATACCCAGAGTTAAACTTTGTTGGTCTTAAAGGTGCCACTGGACTCAAACTTTGTTCTATTGATTCAGACCAACATGGCTACCCACCTGAGTCTGAGATAAAAATCCATCCTTTCTAACACCTTTGCCAACTGTAAACAGTTATATTTCTCCATATTCTGTCCTAAATCGCCTCCTGCCAGAGTATAGATTGCACATCAAAACAATCAAATACTGTGGCACACCTATATTCTTTAAAACTAGCCATAGCTTTTCGCAATCCAAACAGTCACAAACTTTGTTGCAATCTATGAAAACACAAGCGAGTTTTTTTCTGAAAGTGGCCACCCTGAATTCCTCAGACAAAGGGTAGGACAAAAATTTAACAGTTAAAGAGTCAGCGAAACCAGCTGTTTTACTGGTCAAACAGTGTGAACTGGTCACTTGTCTGACTGGTCAGATCTTGTTAAATATTCCCACACAACCAAGGACAGTGGTTGCCTGCTTAGCCCGACTGTCTTTTGCTGTTCATTAATCGCTACTATTGTTTTATTTGTGCCTTAGTTTTTAGACATTTTTCTAAATCTAGGCGGGTATCAGAATCAATGCCGCCAAGAAGGGCCACCATATGCTCCTCAGCTTAATTGACCTCATGAGATTGTGGAGAGGATGAATCTAGAGGGATGCTCTAGGCCAGAGGTGTCGAACTCATTTGTTACGAGGGCCGGGCCACTTGTGCTATAAAATGTAATGCCAGGTACCGGAGACATATACTTTATAAAGGACACAGGCAAACCCAATTAACAACATTATTTTTTACTTAACATACAAACAAAAGCAATTGATTCCTAGCAGCAAAAGCAATTGTTTTACTGGGGAACCCACAAAAGCCACAATAAATGTATTTAATCACATGCAAGAATAGGTTTTTTCCAAGGGATACCATAAAAGGGGAGTAACTTATATTTCCATACATACCAGTTGCTTGCGGGTTGGGTAAGAGCCCTGGATGGGACTGTTTTGGCCCTCGGGCCTTATGCTTGACACCTCAGCTCTAGGCTGATCCTGCATTGAACAGGGGGTTGGGCTCAGATGGCCTGTAAAGCCCCTTCCAACTCTGTGATTCCATGATTCGAATACAGAAGAGAGGAGAACACTGTGAACTGCTCTGGGATGCCACTGGGGCAAAAGGGCATAAAATAATCCCCTTCCTTGTTCAGTCACATTTATAAACCTGTATCCAACGTGGCTCAAGTGGTTAAGACGCTGAACTGCAGCCTGTGGAAGTTCAGCAGTTCGAGACCCGGGTGCCGCAAGACGGGGTGAGTTCCTGTCTCTAGTTCTAGCTCCTGCCAACCTAGCAGTTCAAAAGCAAGAAATTGCAAGTAAATAAATAGGTAACAGCGTTCCGTGCGCCTTGGTGTTTAGTCATGCCGGCCACATGACCACAGAAACGTCTTCGGACAGCGCTGGCTCTTCGGCTTTGAAACGGAGATGAGCACCACAACCCTAGAGTCAGATTCGACTGGCTTTCGAGCAAGGGAACCTTTACCTAACGTCATTTTCATTTTCTTTATTTAATTTATACCCACACCTTTCTCCCGAATGGAGAACCAAAGGGGCGTACATCATTCTTCTCCCTTCCATTTTATCCTCAGAACCACCCCGTGAGGGAGGTTAAGCGGAAAGTGAATTACTGGCCCAAGGTCATTAGGAGCAGTAACCTGTCACACTCACACTGTGTTGCGTTAAATTTCATTGTTCCACACCGAGAAGTTAGCAACGCCTTGAATTAAATTACAGTTTAAAAAGCATCTTTTTGGATGGCCTAAGAAACCGTTAGAAATATTTCACAATCACCCAGGCCACCCAACCCTGCTTATTTGTTCAAGCTCCGGTACCTCAAAACAGATCTATTTTTTCCACAGAAGTGCTGAGTAAACTCATGTGACAGCTTCAAGGAGGGGAGAAATGTCACTGCTTTTGCTCTTTCTTCTGCAAACTTCCGAACTTGTGATGTTGAGGGGGAAATCAGAGGAACCTGTGGTGTACCATCTGAAGGAGAGGAAGAAATCACTTGTTTCCTCTTCTTCTGAGGAAGTTTTATTGGCATGGCTGTATGCTTTTCTATTAACTTTCCCCTCCCCAGGTAGAGTGGAAGAATATCCCAAGAGCTCCAAACTAGAATGATACAAATGCTTCCTGCAAAACTAGTTCGCTTTCCCCTACAAGTGTGATAAGATACAAGAGGAAAGAGAGCACACAAAAGAATGTGGCAGTGGGGGAAGCAGTCACATTCAAGCTCTCCCTGGGTAGAGCCACATTGTCTGCTAACCCTTATCAGAAAGAGTTGTCCAACCTTCCTGCCCACCTTGCTTTAATGCGCCTAACTCCCTCAAGTGACTCTATATTCATGCTGACAGGGGTTTTCTCATTGCATAGCACCTGCACTTTTCTCAGTCTCATGATTGCCAAGTGAAATTTCTACCCAAGTTGTTGCCAGCACGGGTGTAGTAGTTAGCCTAGACTCTGGGAGATCCGGGTTCAAATGTCCACGCTGCCACAAAAGCTCACTGGGGGGCCTTGGGCCAGTCACTCATGCTTAGCCTAACCTACCTCACAAGGTCGTTGTTGCAGCTGGAAGGAGAATGATGAAAGTGAAATTTCTACCCAAGTTGTTGCCAGCACGGGTGTAGTAGTTAGCCTAGACTCTGGGAGATCCGGGTTCAAATGTCCACGCTGCCACAAAAGCTCACTGGGGGGCCTTGGGCCAGTCACTCATGCTTAGCCTAACCTACCTCACTTGGTCGTTGTTGCAGCTGGAAGGAGAATGATGATGTAGACCATTTTGGATCCTCATTGGAGAGAAAAGGAGATTAGATTTATACCCTGCCCTTCACTCGGAGTCTCAGAGTGGCTTACAATCTTTCCCTTCCCCCAAAAGATACCCTGTGAGGTAGAGGGGGCTGAGAGAGCTCTGAGAGAACTGCACGCACACTTCATCAGGTGTCTGAAGAAATGTGCAAACACAGGAAAGTTTATACCCAGAATTAAACTTTGTTGGTCTTAAAGGTGCCACTGGACTAAAACTTTGTTCTATTGCTTCAAATCAATGCGGGTACTTGAGTCTGGGTATAAGGTTTCCTGTGCGTGCACATTTCTTCCTATTCCTGATGAAGTGTGCCTGCACACAAAGGCCAGAGTTAAACTTTGTTGGTCTTAAAGCCACCACTGGACTCAAACTGTTAGATCACGATTTGTTATGCTTATTGCACCTTTTAAACCTGACCACGGTTTAGGGCCTTGGTCTGTCTTCATCCCTCCCTGCCAATAGCCAACCACCTATGGTCTCCTTCCGGCACTTTTAGAGTGCAAATCCTATACATACTTGTTCCAAATTAAGTCCCACTGAGATCTTACTCCCTAGGAAGCGTTTTGGGTTGAAGTCTGAAACGATCACTCCGGCCGAAACTAGAGAGGGAGCCGAGCCGACGGCTATTCGGAGAAGGCCCTTCTGGAAACCCGCTTGCTCCAGCAGGAGAGAAACCGAAGCCGGAGGGGCATTTCTGGAGCGGGGGGCGCGCAAGGGGCAACCCGAAAAGGAAGCAAACCCGCTTCTCTTCCACACGTGACGTTCCGGGGCGGGTCTCTCCCGACCGTTTGTTCCGGGGGCGGATTTAAGGCGGGCGGGGTGCTGCCGAGCTGCTTTCTGTTTCGCTCCGGGTTGCTGCGCTGATTCTGGGCCGGACGTCCTGTGCGCAGAGATGGCGCGCCTGGCACGCTGCTCGCTCCCCTTGGCCGGCCTCTTGTTTCTCTTGCTCCGGCCATGCGTGGCTGATACGCCGGCCAACTGCACCTTCGAAGACCTGGAGGGCACCTGGGTCTTCCAGGTGGGCAGGGGCCAAGGCGCCCCCGGCAATCAGATCGACTGCTCGCAAGTGGGTAAGTGCCGCGGACAGAGCGCGCCTGGCACGGCGTAGGGGTCCATGGCCACGGCGTTGCGTTCTCTACTCCCTCCCCCTTTCCTGGAAAGTTTGCAGCAAAGGAACCCGCCCCCTAGACGCTGAAAAGAGCCACCCTCCAAATCTCGTGTGTGCTTTTACGTGCGTAAAATATTCTTCTCTAAAAATTCTAGGCAGTCTTTGCGTTTTTATTTGAGGCTCGGTTTACTCAGGAGTCCGTCCTGTTGTGTTCGAGGGGGTTGGCGCCGAGATTAGCTGTGCCTGAGTTTGCGGTCTTGATGATCCGCTTGTTACGCCCAAAATGAAACGGGAACTGAGTAGAACAGCGGGGACGGGATTTCTTCCAGAATAGAACTTGTCGTGCGTCAGCTTTGTGGGCGTGCGCTTCGTGCATCTGATGAAGCGAGCACTTATTAAATTTAAACTGGAATAAAATGTGCTGCTAATTTACTTGCTCACCCTACCTATATGTATCGACTGGTAACTTCCATTTCACTGTATCCAGGGGCGGATGAAAGCTCACTGATACCCTAAACACTGACCAATCTTGGTGCCCCCCCTCCTTTCCACACTGACCCCGGTCCATTTTAGTTGTTGACCTGTCTGACCAGATATACAATGCAGGTTGCAGCAATACAAAAATTTATTCATGTGATAACAGGATATACTGTACAAACTAAGCCAAGCTTGAGGGCTACATAAAGTTCTACAAAAATGCAATGCAACATCTATTTAAATATTTCACAAGTTAAATGTATCAAAGTCCCAACTATTTGGGGGCCCCTTTGGCCCTGGTGCCCTAAACACGTGCTTAGTCTGCTTAATGGTTAATCCGCCCCTGACTGTATCTGTTGAAGTGTGCGTGTGCACAAAAGCTTATACCTTGAATAAAGCTTTGTTGCTGCAGTCACACATACTAAACAATCCACTTTCAATCTACTTTCAGTGAACTTTCCAACTGGGTTTCACTGTTGGGTGAACTGGCAAAATCCAGTTGGTAAGTGCATTGAAAGTGGATTGGAAGATTCTTTAGCGTGTGTGACCACAGCTGGACTCAAATTTTGTTCTGTTGCTTCAGACCAACACAGCTACGCACCTGAATCTATGGAACAAAATCTGTTAGTCTTGTGAAGTAGCACTCGGCCCTGTTTTATTTTTAATTTTTCTTTGGCTTCACTATGGGGGTGTTAAGACTGTATCTACAAGGAGCAGTAAAACGGAGAGTGAAGGTGAGTGACATAGATGAGGTATTATGTCTTAGCAACTTCATGGTGTTTATTGCCTCTTATTTTCTTTTTATAGCAATTTTGTTATTGTACCTTAGCATTTTATCACCTCTTACTGCACTGTAAGGCACCTTGGGGCCTTTTAGCTGGAAGGGCCTTCTTGGTCTATCCCTGTGCCTCTCTAGGCCTATAAAATTTGTTGAGGGGGATGAGCTTTCGTGAGCCACTGCTCACTTCTCCAGATATCTGAAGAAGCGAGCAGTGATTCCCAAAAGCTCCAAGGTAAAGGTTTCCCTTGCTCGAAAGCCAGTTGAATCCGACTCTAGGGGGGCAGTGCTCGTCTCCCGTTTCCAAGTCAAAGAGCCAGCGCTGTCTGAGGACATTTCCACGGTTGTGTGTCCAGCATGACTAAATGTCAAGGCGCACAGAACACTGTTACCGTCCCACCAAAGCGATTTGGCTACTGCATAAATTAGTTTGTCCTGGAGCCATCCTCCTTGAGCTAAGACAAAAATGTGTGAGCCGGAGTCGAAAGAACTGTGAGCTAGCTCACACTAACTCAGCTTAGAGGGAACACTGGTCCCAAGAGTCTGATTTAGGGTCAGAGGGACCCCCTGTTCAAGTCTCCACTCTGCCATGGAAGCTCACAGGGTATCTTTGGGCCAATCATAGGCTTCCAGCCCACCTTGCAGGGTTAGGGTTGTTGGGAGCATAAGCCAGAGAAGGGAAGATTGTTGTAAGCTGTTTTGTGTTGCCGTTGGAGAGAAAAGCAGAATGTAAAAAGGCTTTTTCAGTGGCCAAAGGATACTCTGTCAGATGCATGAGGTGTTGGCATGCATATCCTTGTTGCCTCAGTCCCAGAGATACGAGGACAAAACAGCAAACAAGGTACAGACCAAAGCTCAAAGATCCAGTCTGTCAATGTGACTGACTGCCCCAGCCCCAAGTAGCTGCCGAATTTGCAAAGCATAGTAAGCTGGGAACGCCAATTGGGAGTCTTCTTTTCTGTCAGATGCCTGGTTTCTACTTGGAGGATTGCAACACCAGTCCACAGAATATTCCAGAAACACCTGGTCAGGGCCTTCAATGCTACTTTTTCCTTGGTGAGGAGCGCCGAGGATGAGAAGGGAGTGATAAACCCTTCTTGGTTTCACTTTTGTTGAAACAGCAGTTTGGGTAGTTGTTCTTATTTTTATTTTTAATTTTAATTTTAGTAGGGAGGAATGGCTGAGGGGAAAGATCTGAACTGCTTGGGGGGGGGCAGGCAGTGTTTGCAGGAGTGGAAACATAAGAAGAGCCTCCTCCATGAAGCTGTCTCACGTGAAACCCCCCCCCCCTTTTACAGACATCTATGCTTGTGGCCCTCACTGTGTCTGCTGTCTGGCAGTGAACTTAATGGAGAAGGCCGAGTTCCCCTTGGACGAGGTCTCACCTCATCCAAGGGGAACTCTCGTGGCTCTGAAGTTAGCATTCAGAAATGGATTTGCCAGCAGATTTGCCAGCCTATTCGTGGTCAGCCAACCTTTTGTCTGTCCGTGAAGGCACAATCCAGTCACACTCACACAAAAAGCACTTTTTGAACATTTCCGTTCATGAATGAGAGGCTGAATCATGCGTCTGTCTAGCTTTGAAACCAATGGGGAAGCACTCCTTGTCATCGGGATTCGGGGGGGGGGGGAACTACCACTGAACGTGAAATGAAAGTACCACAGCTTGTGTTCTGCCCCAGGTGATGTATCAAAGTATTAAGGCTCCTCTTCTGAAAGCTTAACTCCCCCCTCCTCCCTTTTCTTCAGGGCCTATCGAGAGAAAAATAGTGGTTCGCCTCCAGAGGCTTGATGTGGCTGAGGATGATGAGGGGAACAGTGGCTTTTTCACGATAATTTACAACCAGGGCTTCGAGGTCGTGTTGAACAGCTACAAGTGGTTTGCGTTTTTTAAGGTAAGCGAAGCTTCCTCCTGCTCAGCTCAGAGGTTTATCAAAAAACACTGTGTTACAGTTAAGGAATGTAGCTTCCAAGTCTGCTGCTTTAAGTACCTTGCACAATTCTGTCTGGCAGCACTCAAAAAAGGTCTAATGCAGTGGTGTTGTCATTAGCTGAGCACAATGCTCTTTGGGGGAGATACCAGGAGAGGCAGTCCTGTAAATACACTGATCCCAGACCGGTTCTGTGTGCAGACACTTGGGAGAGCTTTCAGGGGGTGAGGGGGATGAGGAGGAGATTGGATTTATACCCCGCTCTTCACTCGGAGTCTCAGAGCGGCTTACAATCTCCTTCTCTCCCCACAACAGACACCCTGTGAGGTAGGTGGGGCTGAGAGAGCTCTTTCGAGAACTGCTCCTGAGAGAACAGCTCTGAGAGAACTTGTGACTGACCCAAGGCCACACCAGCAGCTGCCTGTGGAGGAGTGGGGAATCAAACCCGGTTCTCCCAGATTAGAGTCCGCACTCTTAACCACCTCCCCAAACATATTTGCCAGTGTCTTGACTTTCAAGCCCCAAATGGTTTGAATATTAGGATTGTACATGTGTGCTGCCCTTGTTCTGGCAGCGAGTGCCCCTGTTAATGTGAGGACAACCAACATCCCTGAGTTCCAGCAGCCCAAGAGGCTGAAATGAGGTGAGTGGTCCCATCAGGCTGTCTTGAGGAGGAAATTGGGCTCAGCGATGGGAACTCACAATGGGGAACACGCACACACTCCAGTCAAATGCCCTTCCTCTGAATCTTTTCAGCAGTTAGGAGGTTTCATAGTGCTAGCTAGTGTGGCAAAATTAAACCAAGGTCTGGAGGTACCTTAAAGACTAATGAAAGAACAAAGTTTGAGTCCAGCGGCACCTTTGAGACCAACAAAGTTTTATTCAAAGTGTGAGCTTTCGTGTGTAAAGCACACTTCTTCAGGCAAATGGAATAAAATCTTCTCAAGGGTTACTTACAGGAAAGGGGGGGGCAGCCATTAGGAGGGGCCACTCAGAGCCAAGATGCACAGGCAGAGCTGAAATTGGATCAGGTGGCCGGTAAGATCAATGGATAGCAGCAAATTAACACATAAATGCAAGAGTTAACAAAAAGATGTGATAATGGAAACGAACAACATGGACTGAGAATAAGCTGCGATTCCAGCATGATTTCTGCCTTGGTAGCCCTTGCAAGGGAAGGCTAGTGCAGTAGATATTTTGTTAAATAAACCAATGATTTTCCACCCCACCCCCCCACTTCAGTTCCTATGGAAGAAAAACATATTGTGTATTTTAAGGGAAATTACAGAAGTGGGGAGGGAGGAGTTTGGGCAGAGAGCCAGCAAGGTGTAGTGCTTAAGAGTGGCGGACTCTAATCTGGAGAATTGGGTTTGATTCCCCTCTCCTCCACAGGAAGCCTGCTGGGTGACCTTGGGCCAGTCACAATTCTCTCAGGACTCTCTCAGCCCAACCTGCCTCACAAGATGCCTGTTGTGGGGAGAGGAAGGGAGGTGATTGTCAGCCGCTTTGAAACTTCTTAGGGTAGAGAAAAGCAGAGTATAAAAACCAACTCTTCCTCCTGTGACTCCTGTCATAAACCTTTCAGGTTTGGGACAGAACAGATTAGGTTCTTGCACATAATGAGGATAGAGGCTGGATGAGTGCAGAATCTCCTTCTAGAGAGAAACCGGCTGGCTTGTACACCTCCCCCCTGGCAAATTATTAATCTCATAGTAGAGATCTCCATGTCACCTTAAACTTCCCAGAGACATCTGTCTAGACTCGATTGTCTTGTCCAGCAAGGCATTTAAGTTTATGCTTTCAAGTCGTAATAGAAAGCACCGTCCCCGGCTGGCAGCGTATGCTAATTCTCACCTAACAACCTTCAAAGTTGCTCGTGGCAACATAATTAACAGAAGGGTGTTTTGACTACTAATTTAAGGACCTTCCTGTACTAGTGACACACAAGCAGGTCTGTCTGCTGTTCAGCTGCAAGTCCACAATGAAAAATTAAAGAGCTGGCAATCGATGTAGCGTCTAGTGAAGATTTTTAATGTTTTCTTTCCTGTTCGGCCCTTCTAAGGGTAATCTGATGTCCTCTTTAGCAGACAGATAGATGCACTTAGCGCTGTGCTGTCAAAACAACATGGGTTCTGAAACAAGGATATTTTTTTGGCTGAGCTTTAAGGTCTTTGTGTGCCAAGAAACCTGATATTTGCTTTGGCCATTTCAGCTATCTTAGACTTGCAACTTAATAAGTCAGCTGCCAGCAAGGAACAGGAGAAGGGTAAACATTCTTCACCCTGCTGACAGTCTCCAGTGCAAAGGTCTCCCTCGGAAGTCTTGTGCCCTGTTGGGGAAGCATTGTGATGGATTTGGAATGGTGATTCATTAAGAGCTCTTTGTAGATAACTTCAGTGTGTTGTTGTTGTTCAGTCGCACAGTCGAGTCCGACTCTTCGCGACCCCATGGACCAGATCACGCCCGGCTTTCCGGTCTTCTGCCGTCCTCTGAAGTTTGCTCAGTTTCATGTTCGTTGCATCTATGACACTGTCTAACCATCTCATCCTTTCCCGTCCCGTCTTCTTTGACCTTCAGTCTTTCCCAGCATCAGGGTCTTCTCCAGTGAGTGCTCCCTTCTCATTTGGTGGCCAAAGTATTTGAGCTTCAGTTTCATTATCTGGCCTTCCAGGAAACAGTCAGGGTTGATTTATTTTAGGATTGACTGATTGGATCTTCTTGCAGTCCAAGGGACTCTCAAGAGTCTTCTCCAGCACCATAGTTCAAAAGAATCTATTCTTCGGCGCTCGGCCTTCCTTATGGTCCAACTCTCGCAGCCATACATGACTACTGGGAATACCATTGCTTTGGCCATGCGGATTTTTGTTGGCAGGGTGATGTCTCTACTTTTTATCATGCTGTTTAGGGTCACCATCGCTTTCCTCCCAAGAAGCAGGCAGTCTTTTAATTTCATGGCTGCTGTCACAGTCTGCTGTGATCTGGAATCCCAGGAATGTGAAGTTCAGTGTGACTGTGGCTCAAAAGTGCGTTTTACAGTTTTACAGCCCTCAAAGCTTACCTTCCAATCTCTTCACACAATCCCTGGACACGGATTGGCTACAACTGTCGCTCTGCATTGTGGGGATTGTAGTCTGTCTGCTTCCCACTCCCATACAGGTCTCTCCTGGGCTTAGGCCGCACTAGGCCTTGCTCCCAGTCCTGCACAGATCGTGACAGTGCGCATTGGGCTCTGTTATGCAAAGACTGCAAACACTTTTGTGATGTTGTGAGAAGTGCGGATTAGGGATACACTCAACTTGTGAGTCTAGTTTTCCCAAATAAATATGAGGAGAGAAACCTCTTTTAATTTTTTTTTGTCTAGACCACTTCAGGATATAAGTGGGGGACTTGCATGATAGGATATGCTTCCAAGCAGAGAACCCCGCATGCAGAAAGCTAGCTGGTTGGCAAGAAGGTCAGGCACTTTTCTTTCTTTTTTTTGCCTTCAAGTCACGGCTGACCTCAGTGGGGTTTTCAAGGCAAGACATGTTGGAGTGATTTACTGCTCCCTGCCTCAGTGTCATGACCCTGGTTTTCCTTGGAGGTCTGCTATCCAAATACTAATCAGGGCTGACCCTGCCTAGGTTTTAAGATCCGATGAGATTGAGTTAGCCTGGCCTATCCAGGTCAGGGCAGACTCACTTATCTAAATTTAATTCACAGTAAGGCACACGGAACTCTAAGTACTAAGTAGCAGCTGGCTTCTCAGAATTACTTTCCAGGCAGATGTCCTGTAGATCTGGTTCGTAATGTAATCCCTGGTCACCTGTGAATGGTGAACACATGTACAAACTGCCTGTGTATATGTACAGCAGTGTGTAAGAAAGAACTAATTGTGTGTTCACTTTACAAATTAAACCAAGGAGTAGTACCTGGATAACTCTGGGCTTTCAGTCACATGTTGAGCTGTACATGTGTTGAATGTAACAGAGAATTACTCAGTAAATAAAAATCAAGAAGAAGAAGAAGAGATTGGATTTATACCCCGCCCTTCACTACCCAAAGGTGTCTCAGAGCGGCTTACAAACTCCTTTCCCTTCCCCTCCCCACAACAGACACCCTGTGAGGCAGGTGGGGCTGAGAGAGCTCTTGACAGAAACAGCTCTTTTTCAAGAACAGCTGTGCCAGCACTATGGCTTGCCGAAGGTCATCCAGCAGGTGCAAGTGGAGGAGTGGGGAATCAAACCCTGTTCTCCCAGATTAGAGTCCGCACACTTAATCACTACACCAAACTGGCCCTCGAGAATACACTGTGCGTGGGTTGTACTTGTGTTCACTGTAACTTATTGACCGGGCTATAGGGGCTTTTCAGTGGTGGCCCCCAACTGGAAACCCCCTCCTTAGATGGTTTTGGGAGGTAGCCTACATTGTTTTCATTTTGGTGCCAGATTAAGCTCTGTATTTTCCAGGGGCTTTTAGAGAACAATTGGTGTGTCTGCTGTTCCGGTTTTATCTGACTTGCTGGCTTTATTCTATTGCTTGTTTGTGTTTTATGTTAGCCTTATTGGGGCCTCTTTATAATGGAGAAGCATAGTAGATATCTTGAGTGTAAAAACGTTTGGTGGTCAATTTGACTGAAGTTACATGGGATATTTATATATGTATCCCACCTCATAATACTTCCTGGAGTTTTAGATGTGTGACTTGGCTTCCCCAGAATAGCTGGAGAAGTGATAGGAAAGGTCTTTGAGAAGAGAGGATTTATTCTTGCCCCACATTATTTCCCCTAGTAGCTACTTTATACCCTGGTGTGGCATGGGGGGAAGATGAATGCCCAGGAGAGAACCAGAAAGATTTGGGGACACCTGTCGGGGGGGCAGGAGAATTTTCCCACTTTTTCACTGAACATTTCTGTGAAATATTTGCTTTTGACATGAGTGAAATGTTTTTAAGTGCTTTTATTCACAAGGTAGGCAATCAGCATTTGTGGCTTCTTGAGTTGGAGTTTTGCATCACAGTCTGATCACATTGCGTGTTTCTTCACCCCCTGTTTACTCTCACCGTGCCATCATCGTGGTCATTGCATCCTTAAATTTTGTGGGAAATGGGTTCATTTTGCTATTGGGAGATCACAGACCCTTGTTTTCTAGTGTTTGTGGATTTCCATTTATGGTAATCCAGGGAGTGGATCCCTCACAAATGGCGAGGGTCTAGTGTAGAATGTGAATGTATAGGGAAGACAGTCTATGGTACTAGAGAATTCCTGTGTATAATGTAGATACACAGTATATTGTTGTGCTTATATTGTTTAAGGCTGAGGTCACACACACTAAATAATCCGCTTTCAATCCACTTTCAGTGCACTTTTGAATTAGATTTTGCCAGTTCATACAGTAAAAATGCAGTCTGAAAGTGGATTATTTAGCGGGTGTGACTGCAACTTATATGCGACTACGTAATTTTCTCTACAATCAACATATTTTTACAAGTATGATAATACACTATTAGGTGTAGAGAGTTAACTTGATACCCAAATATGCTGGTAACCCTGTTATGGCAGCAAGATACTGGTTGTCCCATCTCTCAGATGGCAGAATACTAAGATACATTTCCCAGAGTGGAAGAGGGTGCAGCAGTTTCTCTAATTCACACTCTAGTATTTGATGTATATTGACAATTTTACTTGCTGAAAACTCAAGTGCTTATATTTTGATATTTTGTAAATATGCCAGAGAGCCTAATTTTTAAATAAGAGCGGTAAATGATGTGTTTTATATTCAAAACAGTAGAATAAGGTTAGTCTTACTACAAAGGTAAGTATGGCATATTTCAGTTCACGAATAGCAAGAGATCACACAGTCAAATATACAAAAGCCAAAGGAACGAGACAACTGTGTATAACCATGCTAATGTAAATTATAACAATAAACAAATAATAAAGAAACAAAAATCTATAGTGCGTTGTTTTCATTCATAAATGCATAATTTCATTTGTTCTCATTCGTAAATTCAACGAAGTCTCCGGATTGTGATCTTCGTTTCGGAAGTCTTCTTCCAGACTATGAAATTATCACGACGCATCAATTTCTGAGTGTATAAGTTGTTCAGACAGCTTCTTAGTTCAATATCAGCAATTTTATGCAAAGTTTCAGAAGACGGGCCACTAGTAACTCATTTATTTATTTATTTTGTATCCCGCCCTCTCTGCCGAAGCAGGCTCATTCAAGTCAGGAGTTCTCTCAGTGTTGCTAGTCTGGCATTGCCTCAAGATAAACAGATAGGCCTATCTGTTTAGCTGAGGCAATAACAGGCTAGCAACACTGAGAGAACTCCTGACTTATATGAGTTATTACTGGTGGCCCATCTTCTGAAGCTTTGTACAAAAATTATGGATATTGAACTAAGAAGCTGTCTGAACAATTTATACACTCTGAAACTGATGGATCATGATAATTGATATTTTGGAAGAAGACTTTCGAAACAAAGATCACAGTCCGGAGACTTCGTTGAATTTATAAATGAGAACAAATGAAATTATGCATTTATGGATGAAAACAACACACCATAAATTTTTGTTCGTTATTTGTTGTTACAATTTACATTAGCGTGATTATACACAGTTGTCATATTTCACTTCATCCCAGAATTTTTGCTTTCCAAGAAAAGAATCACACTGTTTTCCCAGGGGTCCCAGATTTCCAGAGATGTTGACATTTCTAGGTGCCCACCCACACCACGACCCTAGAGTGCCAGTTCAGGGTTGGGAAATGTCTGGAGATTTGGGGGGAGGCTGGGGGGGGCGTTCTGATGGGCCTCCTGATGGCACATGGGGCTTGGCCACTGTGTGACACAGAGTGTTGAACTGGATGGGCCATTGGCCTGATCCAACATGGCTTCTATTATGTGGGGAGGGAAGAGACCTCAGTGGATTATGCCATAGAGTCCACCTTCCAAAGCAGCTATTTTCTGCACAGGAACTGTAACCTAGGGAACAGCTGTAATTCTGGGAAATTTCCCTCCACCACCTGGAGACTGGCAACTCTACGCAACCCCAGTCCCTGCCCACTGCAAGCATGCTATGTCCAACAATACATTTTGAGCTCCAGCCAGAGGATTCTGGAGTAGTTTGGGCCTGAGAGGGTCTTTCCTGCGTTGGCACTGGTTGTAGAGTTCCCCTAGAAACAGACCTCTTGCAGTCTCATCAGGAGAAGATGTTCCTGCACAATTGACGGGGCCTTCACAATTCACGCCTCTTCTGCATTTGTAAAATTTGCTCTGTTTTCTTTTTCCTCCAGTATGAAACAAGTAAGGGGCAAGTAACCTCTTACTGCAATGAGACGATGCCGGGATGGGTGCATGATGTCTTGGGTCACAACTGGGCGTGTTTCATCGGCCAGAAGGTTTCCCCTCCAGCCTCTAGTGTTCATGTAGATCTGCTGCCTGTTTGGACAACCTATGGAAGGTGAGCAGAAGGGGACCTATCCAGTAACTTTTTTTAATCTCGCCCATCTTCCAAAGAGCTGAGAGCAGCCTGTGTTTTGGAAATGCTGTTTCGTTTAGTAAATAGCTAGAAAACCAATACTTCAATTTATTTTATTTATATATTGACGTTACTTGTAGCGACCAGAACCCCAGGCGGATTACGTAGAGCAGGTCAATAAAATCAACAGGATGGGACATCCAAGCAACAATGAAATAGGATTTTGGGCTGTAGAACCAACCAGGAATATAAAAACAGAACTGAAGCCAAGCAGAAGTCTTAACATGGCACATGAAATCATGCAAAATGTCATAGCTGGATCCAACTTACAGCAAACTGTACACAGTAGTATAAGTGGGCCACGGTGGCTCAGAGGTTAAGACGCTTAGCTGCAGACCAGAAGGTCTGTAGTTTGGCAGTTCGAGACCCGAGTGCCACGTGATGGAGTGAGCTCCCTTCTCTGGCCCCAGCTCCTGCCAACGTAGCAGTTCGAAAGCAAGAAATTGCAAGTAGATGAATACGTACTGCTTCGGTTTTGTTTAGTCATGCCGGCCACATGACCACGGAAACGTCTTTGGACAGCGCTGGCTCTTCAGCTGGGAAATGGAGATGAGCACCGCCCCCTAGAGTCAGATTCAACTGGATTTTGAGCAAGAGAAACCTTTACCTTTACCTTACACAGTAGTATAGACCAGAGTTCCTAATAGTTTATCTGAGTAACTTCGTGAATCATCTTGTACAGTGCAACCCTACGCAGAAAAGCCTTGAATAATTCAGTGTTGCATACGTTGTGGGAAACCAGGGGAGCGGGAGCCTTCCGCACCTCCTCAGGCAGGCCATTCCCCAGCATGGGGGCCATGACAGAGAAGGCACCGTGTACGGGCAGTTGTGGTTGTTGCCAATTTGCCGGTTGGAACCTGCAGAAGAGCCTGCACAGGTGAGCCAAGCTGATGTGAGAGATGGTCTTGCTGACATGATGGTCCGAGACCAGGAAGGGCTTTGTATAGAATGATGGCCCATTGAGCCTGATAACATATCATAGGCCCGAGGCTAGATTAAGGGAAACAATTGGGCTTGTTCCCCTGGCCTTTGTGCAGTGTTGGCCTGGCGCAGCTATTGTAAATAGAGCTCTAAAAGTTGCTGCTTTGTGAAAGTTGCACCACTTCCATGGGAACAGTTTTCCTTGAAGTGGAATACTCCTGTTGGCCTTTGCTCAATTCTAGGAGAGAAACGGGTCATTTCGTAGAAAAAGAGGTGCAGAAGCTCATTAGTATAACTTATTAGCATAACTTCTTTGCATATGCCACACCCCCTGACATCACCGGAAGTGCGTCAGAAGACAACACCCACCACTCAGGCTCCACTGGAATGTTTTGGATTGCTAGCTATTGGGGGGGGGTGCAGATCTGTCCTCGCAGAGGAGGGAGAGCTTGTACCTGAATAAAACTTGGTCTTAATTGTGCCACTGGACTGTTTTGGATTGCTAGCTATGGGGGGGAGGGAATGCACAGATCTGCCCTCACAGAGGAGGGAGAGCTTGTACCTGAAGGCGGGCCAGGGGGGTGCTCTGCAACTTACGTGGCTGCTTCTTGCTCCTCGTGGCCTGACTGAGGGCTGCTGGGAGCAGGGGGTGGGGCTTGTTGCATGTGCCCACCCCCTGAGCGCCTTACTGCCGGAGCTCTGCTCCTGTGCGCTCCTGTAGGAAATGACCCCTGGAGAGAAATGTGTCCAAAGACTGGACTGCAAGTAGAAAAGAGCAAGAGTCCCATACCACATTAAAGACAAAATCTGTGGCAAGGGAGGAGCTTTTGTGAGTCACTGCCCACTTCTTTTGAAGAAGTAGGCAGTGACTCACAAAAGCTCCTCCCCTGCCACAAATTTTGTTAGTCTTTCAGGTGCTACTGGGCTCTTGCTCTTTTCTACTGCTAAAAGTAAAGTAAAGGTTCCCTTGCTCGAAAGCCAGTCGAGTCCGACTCTAGGGTTGCGGCGCTCATCCGATTCAAAGCCGAAGAACCAGCGCTGCCCGAAGACGTTTCCATGGTCATGTGGCCGGCATGACTAAACACCAAGGCGCACGGAACGCTGTTACCTTCCCACCGAAGTGGTACCTATTTATCTACTTGCAATTTCTTGCTTTCGAACTGTTAGGTTGGCAGGAACTGGAACTAGAGACGGGAGCTCACTCCGTCATGCGGCAACCCAGGTCTTGAACTGCTGAACTACTGACCTTCCACAGCCTGCAGTTCAGCGTCTTAACCGCAGCTCCTGCTACAGATAGACTACTGCAGCTACCCATCTTGGACCACAAATGTGTTTCTTGGTGTTACCTGCCAAAACAGGAAAATTCCAGTCAAACCAGAGGCTTCAGGGCCATAGGAGCTTGCTGGTATATTTCCCAGGAGTAGGGTTCCTCTTGAGGCTACTGCTTGGCCCTTTAGTCTGTTTGCAGGAATTGAACCGTGCTATATGTGTCTGATGAAGTGCCACTTCCCCAAAATGCCTGTTTTGTGCAGCAACTTACAAAAAGGCTCTGGAGGCCTTTCACAGAAGCAGTGCTTAAGTCTGCTTGTGCCGAGGACTGTCTTCAGCGTAGTCATTCGTGTCCTGGAATCCAGAGATTTTTGCAGGTCCCAGTCAATCTCAGGTCATACGGGAAACATTGGTCTGCAGGGGGTTGAAACAGATGCTCTTTTGCCAGACTGGCAGCGTTTAGTGCTGCCCGTACCCACTTAAATGCCAAGTATACAGAATCTCTTAGCTCCTGTAACTGCTGAAACGCGTGCTCGCACACATGTCCTCGTTGTTACCCCTTCTCTCTTTCCACCCCATCAAACTTCCGACATTATGCAGAAGATCTGTGACTGGGAGAGCTCTCGGGGCTCTGAATTTTAATGTAAAGCTGCTGCTGCGGATTGCAAAATCAGAACAGGCACTGCTGGCTTCTTCCCTCCATCTAAATCAACATTTCACCTCCAGAGCTACTGTTAGCCCTCCAGGGAAAAAAAGATATGCAGAACTTTTAATTGTAGTCTGCCTGTCTCACTGAGATACAAGGCAAATTGCAGGATGTACAGGTGCTTTTTCCAATCATTTAACAACATTTCTTTAAAGGTTTGTGCTCCTTTAAGCAGAGTGGGGTGGTGTAATTGACTAATTCCTGCACTGAGCAAGGGGGTTGGAGTAGGTGACCTCTAGGATCCCTTCTAACTCTGTGTCAAGAAAATGGTCTCTTTTAAGAGAGTTTTTCTGCCTAAGTGTCAGCTTTCTTGACTGTAGAAGTCATCACCCCCACCTGCCAGCTTGCGATCAGAATTGTTGCTTAGGCTGGCAGAAGTGATCAACTTGCAGCGGCTGAGAACTGTCATCTGAAGTGGTTGACAGCTTGCAATTTAGAGATCCATCCTAGTAACAGCTTTCCATTGGCTAAATGGTTAAGAACACCTATGTAGAATAGACAACTTGAGAAGACTCAGAGAGAAGAGACGGCCTCGAAGCTCTCTTCAATTTCCATCTTGCTGCTATGCTTCCAGAGACTCTGCTCACCAGGAACACCAGTTGAGATGCCAGAGCTACGTGCCTGATAGGAAAAGTAGTGAGTAGAATAGCCAGCTAGGTGTTTGGGGTTTTTTTTGGTTTACATTCCTTGCTGAAGTGTATCCATTCTTTCCCCTACCTATGTGTTGTCTGTCCTTTGTTTTTGTAAATAAAGTTTTATGTGTTTTTATACAAATTGGAGTGAGTTTACTGGCCAAACCCAGATAAGTATTTCCAGTGCTACGCCTGGAAACGTATTCTCCCTCCCCACCCACCCCAGCCTGCTGTTGTCACACTCTGGGGTTAAGATTTTGCAGAAGCCTCTATGCTTTGCTTTTAAAAGGCTTGATTCCACAGTAGCTGAGTCAGAATCCTCAGAATCCTGGCTTTTCTTTCTGCACCGAGAACTTCAGCTGCACAAGAAAGAAAGAAAAATGCCCCACAAGCCACAAAATCCTGGCTGCAGGCCTAGATCTTTCACATCACCTACTGCCAGATCCTTTTGACTGGAAACGCCGGGGATTGAACCTGAGACCTTCTGCATGCCAAGCAGATGCTCCATGATGGGGCCACATCTACAGGTTTAATTTTTTTATATTTGATTAAAGTTTTTAGAATATAATTTTAGCTTTTTAAAAAAATTGACAGTGATAATTCCATATATAATTCCTCCCCACCGCCCAGCCTTTTTGGTTTCCTAATAATTCATAATGGCGGGAGGGCAAGTCATAGGTCACCTGCATCAGATACGTTTTGAACCTGAGATTGTAAACTGTTCCAAGGCAGGGGCTTAAAAATGGGGGTGGCCCATGAAACATCATATAGCTCAGCAACACTCCGTGGCTGTTCATGTAAGAGAACCTCCCTTCTCTTTGTTTAGGGGTGGGTGTTTGAGAGGTGCAGTGGCTCAGTGGTAGGGCATCTGATTTACTTGCAGAAGGTCCCAGGTTCAATCCCCTATATCGCCAGTTGAAAGGGCCTTGTAGGAGGCGATAGGAAAGACTTCGACTCTGGAGAACTGCTGCCAATTTGAAAAGACTAACGCTGACCTTAATTGGCGACTGTTCTGATTTCCGTACGAGGTGTGTGTTCGTATACTGTTGGGACTATAATCATAGCCCTTGTGCTAAGCTAAATGACCGCGTTCTTTGATCTAAGCTTTTTAACTTGTCCCTGTGTGTTTGCAGATATCTGAAACGGCCCTATGTCCCCAGTATTGACTTTGTGAAGGCGATCAATGCTGTTCAGAAATCCTGGACTGCCACAACCTACCAAGAACATGGACTGCTCACCTTGGAAGAATTCTATAAGAGAGCCGGAGGGTTGAAGTCCAGAATACCAAAGTAAGAAGGTGTTGCTTACCAGGGAGCTGAAAGCTTTTGTTATTTAGGACTGCAAGACAATTAGGTCATCTCATGTTGTCTTCCAAAGAAAGAGTCTGTTTTCAGGAGATGCCAGGTGTGTAGCACCTTGGATTAGTGACGATACTTTAGGATGAATCACTGTGTGATCTCTGGTCTGCGCGGTTGTCCTTAGAGCTGTGATAATACAGCTTAAAACAGCTAAAAATGAGTCAGATTCTTGGTCCTGCCCAGAACCTATCCCCAAGGTCTCTCATCTTGGTTGAACAACCGTTCTACCAGTTTTGGTGTCCACTGCCCTCAGTTAAGCTGGTTCAGGGGTTCAGAAGAATGAGAGGGCAGGAAAGACTTCACCAGCTGAGCCCGAAGGTGGCAAATATCTGGAATGCTCACCTATGTTATAAACTCCCTGAAAACTCCCTATGTTATAAACTCCCCAATGGTCCTGCATTGGGCAGGGGGTTGGACTAGAGGGTCTCTATGACCTCTTCCAACTCTATGATTCTATGATAAACAGAAAGCCAGCGCCAGGAGAGAAGAAAAAGGTACAGGGGGGGGGGGAGGCTCTGCCGCCACCTTTGTTTGCAAGGAGTCATTTGTTCAAAGGATCGCTTGAAGTTGGGACCCCCTGCTGGCAGTTTGGAGTGGTGGTGGTTTCATCCTCTTTTTTTCCTCCTGCCTCATTCTTATCTTATTCTCCTACTTGTGAGAATTGTTTTTTACTTGACACGTGCCACTGTTACCCAAATGGGCCCCGTCACCTGGTGTGCCAAGTCCAACAATGAACAGCCAGTCGGGATTTCCAAAAGCAGACAGAAACCTTTATTGCAATGAAGGGAGACCCCTTATCATAGAATCATAAGAGTTGGAAGGGACCTCCAGGGTCATCTAGTCCAACCCCCTGAACAATGGAAATTCACAAATCCCTCCCCCCCACCCCCCCAGTGACCCCTGCTCCATGCCCAGAAGAGGGCAACCCCCCCCCTCCAGGATCCCTGGCCTAATTGGCTTGGAGAACAATTGATTCCAGACCCCAAAGCGATGATCAGCATTTCCCTGAGCGTGCGAGAAAGGGCCACGAGAACTAAGCACTGAGGCAGCCCTTCCTGCCCTCGCTTCTCGTGATCTGCCTAAGTTCACAGAAACAGCATTGCTGTCAGATGGCCATCTAGCCTCTGCTTGGAAACCTCCAGAGAAGGAGAGCTCCCCCCACCTCCCGAGGAAGCCTGTTGTTCCACTGAGGAACCGGTCTAACTGTCAGGAAGTTCTTCCTGATGTTTAGCAGAGGTCCCAAAGAGTGTGTTGCTTTGTCTTAACAATCACTTCTTAAAGCTGTTCTTGGGCATGCGCAGATGCTCCATTACGTCACTACGCCACAGTCATTTGATTTCCCTTCTACCTAACTATAGATTTACCTTTGCTAAGCAAAAGCAGTGGCAAGCACACATGCACTTTGGACCTTTTACTTCTTCAGAAATTCCCAGTGCCTGAGATGTTTTCTTCCAAGTAAGCGTCTGTATCACTGGTGCCAGACTTGTGGTTTTGCTACAAGCTCACAAGCCTTGCAGCTTGCGGTTAGCATATCCTGATTTCTTCTACATTCACTGTGCAGAGAAACGGGAAACAACTTGAGACACCATGATCAGCAGTTTCAGTCAGCAGCTAGCATGAGCTGTAATTTCTAATGAGTAACAAACAGGTCATGTCATTAGTGTAGGACAGAAACTCCATCAAAGGTTGTGCTCCCCCAGCCCAATTTGAGAAAGCACACGGCAGTCTTGTAGAGGAGAATCCAAACTTTAAAGCTTTATTAATAAAGGGGGAAAGTACGGATACAACAAGGTTTTGAATCCTTGAATACCCACAGCTCTCCCTAAGGTTACAATGGGAGACATACGATTTTATACCCCCTATGACAGTTAGAAATAAATCACAATTATTGGTTCCATCAAAGTTTGTCACATATCCATCACACCATTCTGATTGCACCATTCTGATTGGGAATCCAACCTGGGGGTTGGATTTTCCCAGGCAAAAATATACCTTCTTCAGTTGAACAATAGGTTTTCTTCTTCCTAGGCTGTGAAATTCTAAAAAGTATCTTAATTGTAACAAATATTAGTACATCATGCAGTGCTCTTCATCCAACGCAAGCAAACTGACATCAGGGGCATGCGCGATTACAACTGGCAAGAACAAGCAAAGTCACTGCAGTATGTTTGCCTGTCAGCATTTAGCATTTTACCCACAATGCATTTAAGCAATGAACCAAAGTGAATATCTGAATATATGTTCACGATTGATTTCAGTCACTGTGATTAGAATCATCAAAGGCACTTAACATATGCATCATGTAAGTGTTAAGTGCATCTGCTAAGTTAAACTGACTTAGTCAGCAGCAGAGGGCAAAGGGTTTCATAAGCGATGTGTACAACATTAGCACTAGTAATATCAGGCCCCAGTACTTTGGTAGACCTCGCTACCTGGTCTATCACCACCATTGAGCCTTGAGCACCAGTTTGAAGTTATTCTGGTACCAGATTGCTGTGTTTGGGTAAAGGTAAGAACATAAGAACATAAGAGATGCCAATGTTGGATCAGGCCAAAGGCCCATCCAGTCCAACACTCTGTATCACACAGTGGCCAGAAATACCAGTGCCATCAGGAGGTCCACCAGTGGGGCCAGGGCATTAGAAGCCATCCCACTGTTGACCCCCCCCCCAAGCACCAAGAAGACAGAGCATCACTTGCCCCCAGAGTCCCTATCTATACCTTGTTGCTAATAGCCACTGATGGACCTCTGCTCCATATGCTTATCTAATTCCCTTTTGAAGCCGTCAATGCTTGTAGCCGCCACCACTTCCTGTGGCAGTGAATTCCAAGTGTTAATCACTCTTTGGGTGAAACTTCCTCTTATCCGTTCTAACCCGACCGCTCAGCAGTTTCATGGAGTGCCCACAAGTTCTTGTATTGTGAGAAAGGGAGAAAAGTACCTCTTTCTCTGCCTGCTCTTTCCCATGCATAATCTTATAAACCTCGATCATGTCACCCCTCAGTCGTCGTTTCTCCAAGCTAAAGAGCCCTAAGCGCCTTAACCTTTCCTCATAGGGAAAGTGTTCCAACCCAAGGTAGTGTAGAAAAAGTTTTTCTATGCATGCCGCACCCACCGAAATGGGTTTTCCTACTGCAGCCTCCTTTCCTTGGCAGGTCAGTAGTTCTTGGGACTTGTAAGGCCTGGTCCTTTCCTCCCTCTTTTTGGGGTCTCCCTCTTTTCCATCGCACTGCTGTATGCTTTCTACTTCCTTTACTACGTTTAGTCAGGTGTGTTTGAAAGTAAGACCCGAAGCCCTGCAGCTTTGAGAACAGTGTAAAAAAAAAATAATTCAGCACACAATGGGAAGGGGGAGGCTGAAGGGAAGAGGGGGAAGGATGCAGATTGGCTTGGCGGTGCCGAAATTGGAGGGACCTTGATGAGTGTCGATAGCCCGATGGGGATCAAGGTGGTCTTTGCTGGGGCGAAGGCCATACAACAGAGGCACTCTGGCTAGTGGCAACCAGTGCTCCCTCTAAGCTGGGAAGTCCTGTGAACAAAAATTCTACTTTGTGAGCGACTGGCATGAAAGTTGTGAGCGAGCAGTTTGGCTGCTGCAGGAATCAGTTTGCCCTGGAGCCCTCCTTCCTGAGCGAAGACAAAAACCTGTGAACTGGAGGCTAAAAAACTGTGAGCTAGCTCGCACCAACTCAGCTTAGAGGGGACACTGGTGGCAACTGGTCGAACCTGCTGGGTACTGCTGGCCATGGGCCTTGTGGGCACTGTAGGGTGCCCTGGTCTTGCCTTGTTCTTAACTCAGCGTCTTTAATGACATTCCTTGACAGTCTTGACTCATTGTGGCATCAATGAAGACTATGGCACAATCTAGCATAGTGGTTCCCAGCCTTTTGGTGTGGTGACCCACGAGTCCAAATTTACTTGGTATGCTCACGCACATTTTGGGGGGAAATATGCACAAAGCAAGAAAACCACAGAAGCTTGAGACCCACCTGTTGGAGTATGCTGATCTACCGTTCTTAGCGAAGTATTCCCAGTTCCTCTGAGCATCACTGGTGTCATACACTCCTAGGTCGCCTGTATGGATGATGTTCTACTCCTGGCTGCCCTCAGTAAACACTGTCCATGGCTCTGGATATTCCTTACTCTTTGTGTCTCTAAAGCAGTAATCTTAGGTACATTTACCTAGGAGTAAGTGCCATTAAACACAGGTGGGGCTTTCTTCTGAGTAAATAGTTATATAGGATTGTGCTGTACCTGCTCTTTCCACATGCAGATGTATGATGGCCACAGGTGTAGACAGCTTTAAAAAGGGAGTAGGTAGCTTCATGGAGGGATTGGTCTATCAGTAGCAGCTACTAGCCATGGTGACTAAAGGAAGTCTCCATGTTCAGAGGTGGTCAGACTCTGAATCCAAGTGCTAGGAAGCAAGACCAAGGAAAGGCCTCGGCCTCTGCGCCCTGTTGTTGGCCCTCCAGAGGAACTGGTTGGCCACTGTGTGAGGTAGGACGCTGGACTAGATGGACTACTGGTCTGATCCAGCAGGGCTCTTCTTAGGTTCTTGTCAGGGGAAGGCCTCAGCCTCTGTGCCCTGTTGTTGGCCCTCCAGAGGAACTGGTTGGCCACTGTGTGAGGTAGGACGCTGGACTAGATGGACTACTGGTCTGATCCAGCAGGGCTCTTCTTAGGTTCTTGTCAGGGGAAGGCCTCAGCCTCTGTGCCCTGTTGTTGGCCCTCCAGAGGAACTGGTTGGCCACTGTGTGAGGTAGGACGCTGGACTAGATGGACTACTGGTCTGATCCAGCAGGGCTCTTCTTAGGTTCTTGTCAGGGGAAGGCCTCAGCCTCTGTGCCCTGTTGTTGGCCCTCCAGAGGAACTGGTTGGCCACTGTGTGAGGTAGGACGCTGGACTAGATGGACTACTGGTCTGATCC